GAACTGGTGCAAAAAAATACATTTCTTTACAAAAGCTTATGAAAAGCACTGGAACACTGAAACTTGGACTACAAAAAGAGGGAAAAGATAATTTTAATTTTTGACTTGTAAATACATGTTTAGATCCTTCTTGATTCAACCTCAAACTTTTCTTAAAAAAGGAAACTTACCTGAATTTCTACAAATTTGCATAAACGTGCCCATGACAAACAGTATATAAAGCCATGACACATACTGGCTACAATGACATGAATTGCTGCATTACTAGTTTACATACAGAATAAGGGAAATGATGGCCTCATGGTATTGTCACCAGACTATCAATCCAGAAACTCAGCTAACATTCTGGTGACCCAGGTTGGAATCCCACAACAGTAGATGGTGGAATTTGAATCAATGAAAAATACCCAGAATTAAAAATCTACTCTTGACCATGAAACTATTGTTGATTATCAGAAAAACCCATCTAGCTCACTTAGTGTCTTTCAGAGAAGGAAATCTGCCATCTCCAGCTAGACTGGCCTACGTGGGACTCCAGACTCACAGCAATGTAGTTGACATTCAACTGCCCTCTAAAATGGCGCAGCAAACCATCAGCTGCATCATTATGGAGTCTCAAGAAAGAAATAAAACTGGAGAGACCACTTAGCATCAAGCTAGGCACCATAAAAGACAATGGCAAAAACAGCCCTTTGATCCTCCAAGTCTCCTCATTTACATCTGGGATCTGGTGCCAAAGTTGGGAGAGCTGCTACACAAACTAGTCAAGCAATAGCTTGACATTGTCTATGAGGTATGATTCTGTGAGTATGACTATGTCCCAGACACCACCAACACCCTCTGGCTACGTTCTGTCCCAAAAGCAGGACAGAACCAACAGTGGTGACAGCACAGTGGTAGATTGGCAGGGGGGAGTTGCCCCAACAGTCTTCCAAATTGACTCCAGACTCCATGAAGTCTTGTGATGTCAAGTTAAACATGGGCAATGAACTTAAGTGCTGAGCAGAATTAGCAGACAAGACCTGTAAAGTTGAACTTTATTTTTCTGCCTTTATATTCTGCTTTGGTTTATTGTTCAGGTGTTTCAAGATGGCACCAGAAAGTGGGGACACTATATAATACTTTCCACTATCTTGTAACTAGATACACATGACAATAAATCAAAGCAATTAGTTAAAATTGATTCATTACCATGTACCAACGTCCCTCAGCTGATGCATCCGTACTCCTTCATGTTGAGCAACTTAGAGGAAGCACCAAGTGGGGGCAGGGGAACAAGGGTGTAAAATGTATTCTAAGTGGAGGAGTTCAATGTCCACCACCAAGGGTGCTCAGCACTATTGATCAACCTGGTAAGGTACTAAAAGGACTCCGTGCTAGGCTGGGTCTGTGGAAGGTGGTGAGGGTACCAGAATGGAATGATCATACTTAGCCACATCCTTACCAATCTGCCAGCAGCAGTTGCATCTGTCCAAGACAGAATCGCTAAGAACAAGCATCACACAGTTCTTGTGGAGACGAAGGTCCACCCTCACTTTGAGAATGCCCTCCATCTTTTGGTGTGGCAATAGCACGGTGCTAAATAGGACAGACTTTGAATGGATCTAGAAACTCAAGAAGGAAATCTGTACATCCATGAGGCACTGTTGTCCATCAACAGCAGAATTGCACTCCAGCACAATCTTAAGTCGTGGCACAGGATATCTCCCACTCAACCATTACCATTAAGCTAGAGGATCAATCCGGGTTCAAAGGAGGGAGCAGGAGCAGCATTAGACATAACTAAAAAATGAGGGGTCAACCTGAAGTTACCAAATACGACTAACCGCATGCCAAACAGCATAAGCAGCAAGTGATAGACAAAGTTTAGCAATGCCACCATCAACAGAATAGATCTAAGCTCTGCAGTCCTGTCATATCCAGTCGTAAATAGTGGTGAACAATTAACCAACTCACTGGAGGTGGATGATCCACAAATATCCTCAATGATGAAATTGCCAAACTCATCAAAAAAATAAGGCTAACACATTCTCAGCAATCTTCAGCCAGAAACGCTGACTGGATGATCTATCTCTGCCTCCTGCAGTGGTAGCCAGCATCACAAGTGCCAGTCTTCAGTCAATTCAATTCACTTTGTGATATCAAAAAATACCATTGGTATTGGCTATGGGCCCTGAAAACATTCCAGCGACGGTGTTGAAGACTTGTGCTCCAGAGCTTGCTGTTCTCCTAGAAGAATTGTAACACTGACATCTACCTGACAGTGTGGAGAATTGTCCTTCTACGTCCTGTACATAAAGTATAGGACAAATCCAACGCAGCCAATTACTCCCACCCCCCATCAGTCTACTCACAATCACTAATAAAGTGACGGAAGGTATCAATAGTGCTATAAAGCAGCACTTTCGCAGTAATAACCTGCTCACTGGTGCCCAATTTGGGTTCCACCAGGTTCACTCAGCTGCTGACCTCATTACAGCCTTGGTTCAAACATGGACAAACAAAGTGCTGCATTCCAGAGTTGAGTATAACAGCCCTTCTGTATGTAGCTTCAAGAAGCCCAAACAAAACTGGAATCAATGACAATGAGGGGGCAAACTCTCCATTGGTTGGAGTCATACCTGGCACATATGAAGATGTTTGTGGTTGTAGGAAGACAGTCATCTCTGCAAGAGTTCCTCAGGACAGTGTCAGAGGCCAAACCATCTTCAGCTGCTTCATCAACAACCTTCCTTCTATCATAAGGTCAGAAGTGGAGTGTTTGCTGATGATTGTACAATGTTCAGCACCTTTCAAAACTGTTCACATTTGGAAGAAGTCCATGTTCAAATGGACTAAGATTTGGACAATATCAAGGCTTGGGCTGACAAGTGGCAAGTAATATTCATTCTACAAATGCCAGGCACTGACCATCTCCAATAAGAGGCAATCTAAACACTGAACCCCCACTGTCAATATCATGCCGGTTATCAAAACCAAAAGAACTGTGGATGCTGTAAATCATGATCAGAAACAGAAATTGCTGGAAAAGCTCAGCAGGTCTGGCAGCATCTGAAAAAAATCAGTTAATTTTTCAGGTCCGGTGACCCTTCCTCAGTTCTGAGCTGAGGCTGAGCTTTTCCAGCAATTTCGGTTTCTGAACATGATTTACAGCATCCACAGTTCTTTTGGTTTTGATAACCCGCATTGTGTTGATAGTGGGGGTTCAGTGTTTCGATTGCCTCTTATTGAAAACTGTCAGTGCCTGGCATTTGTAGAATGAATATTACTTGCCACTTGTCAGCCCAAGCCTTGATATTGTCCAAATCTTAGTCCATTTGAACATGGACTGCTTCCAGGTCTGAAGAGATTTGAAAGGTGCTGAACATTGTACAATCATCAGCAAACACCCCACTTCTGACCTTATGATAGACGGAAGGTTGTTGATGAGGCAGCTGAAGATGGTTTGGCCTAGGACACTGCCCTGAGGAAGTCTTGCAGAGATGACTGTCTTCCTACAACCACAAAAAGCTCAGAACTGAGGGTGGGTCATCGGACCTGAAAAATTAAATGATTTTTTTCAGATGCTGCCAGACCTGCTGAGCTTTTCTAGCAACTCCTGTTTTTGTTCCTGTAGGTTATCATTGACCAGAAATTCAACTGGACTCGCTACATAAAACAGTGGCGACAAGAGCAGGTCAGAGGCCAGGAATACTGCAGCGAGTAACTCACCTCCTGACTCCCTCCCGAATGGCAGTGTCGGTCAACCTACAAAAGCACGGACAGGCGTTCAAGAAACCAGCTCAACACCACCTTTTCAAGACCACTATGGTTAGGCTATAAATACTAACTAGCTAGAAACAACCGTGTCCCATGAATAATTTTTATACAGATATATATAGATATTTACAAATATAATCAAAAAACAAATGATTTGGATGAAAACATAGGTGGTCCTAAGTTTGCAGACGACATTTTAAAACAAAAAAAAAGGTAGATTTATGGATAGTGAAGCAGATTATCAAAGGATACAACAGGATATGTATCAGTTAGAAAGTTAGGTAGAGGAATGACAGGTGGGCTTTAATCCAAACAAGGGAGAGGAGATGCATTTTGGGAGGTTAAATGCAAAAGGAAAGCATATAGTAAATGGCAGGACCCTTTAGGAATCTTGTATCCAAGTCCATGCCTCCCTGAAAGTGGCAACACAAGTGGATAAGATGGCAAAAGGTGGTGTATGGGACGCTTGCCTTCATCAGTCAAGACATTGAGTATAAAAGCTGGCAAGTCATGTTGCAACTGTCCAAGACTTTAATTAGGCCACTTCGAGTAATGTGTGCAATTCTGCTTGCTGCATTACCAAAAGGATGTGGAGATTTTGAAGAAGGTGCAAAAGAGGTTTCCAAGAATGTTGCCTGGATTGGAGTGTATTAGCTACAAGGACAAGTTGGACAACTTTGATGGTTTTCACTAGGGCATTGGAGGATGAGGGGTGACCTGGTAGAAGTTTACAAAATTATGAGAGGTTTGGATAGGGTGGATAGTCAGAGTCTTTTACCCAAGGTGGAAATGTCAAATACCACAGGGCATAGGTTTAAGTTGAGAGGGGAAGAAGGTTAAACAGATGTTTGAACATTATGCCTCTTCAGAATCGAAGCGTTCAAGGGCACTTTTAACAAGAATCAATCCGCAAGCAACCTTCCAGGCCTGGCCTCAAACAAGTAACAGTTTCTTAGCTCTCCTCTTAATGAAAAAGACAAGATGCTATCCACAGTCCAAAGGTCACCTTCAGCTCCCAGCTCAAACCAAAATAAAAAAAAAATGAATAAAAAGATCACCCAGAGTTCTAAAAGACCAAAACCATTCTTCATATCTTGTCTATTTTCCATAGGCCTTGCCCTACTTTGAACTTACAGATTTCACTTAAGCAAGATACTAACAGGAAAACATACTGTCCTCCAAAATTAAGAAATGGAGCACCAATAAGGTCATCACAATTGAAAAAAAGAAATGATACCTACCCTGTGTACAGTGCTCTACAGAAGAAACCTGTCAGATGCTAGACATTTGATCCACAACTGGCTTAGACTGTTTTTCAGGAAACCTGTTGTGTGAGAAATGATAAAATCAACTGAGACCTTGAAATCTTAACATTATTGAAACAACAATACTAGAATAAATTTGTGTTTTAAAATACTGGTTGAACAGAACAACTATGCAAATTGTTCCCTTTGTAAATCTGAACTTGGAAACAAAATTTGTAGCAATGTACTTTGACACACCACTAAAAAGTGAAGCCTATTTTAATTCTGTACTTAAATCTATACAAACAGACATGACACCTGTTCTTCCTCCTCCCCCCAACACAGCTCCACATTTGGAACTTCAAACAAAAATTGATAATTTGGCCCAATTTATTGTGCGCAAGAGCTCCAGTATAGGTTAACCAAATCTCAGTGCAGAAAAGGCAACAAAAACAGCAATACTGGAGAACAATCTCCACCACAATAAAATTGACAACTTTACTTCTGAGAAGTTAAAATCTTCAGAAAGCGGATATGAACAATGTTCTCATATGAATTGTGAGCTAGGTGCATTCTAAACAACTGCACATACATGACAAAATAACTCTGGGTAAGTGCTGTGTAATAGATATTCTGGTAACCAAAGATTTCAACATATGAAAGATCTAGTATTATGAAATAGAGTCAGAGAGTCATAGAGCAGAGACCGACCCCCTCTGGTCTGACTTGTCCATGCCAACAAAGTTTCCCAAACTAAACTAGTCCCATTTTCCTGCATTTGGCCCGTAACTCTCCAAACCTTTCCTATGCACGTAGCTGTCCAAAATGCCTTTTTTTAAAACTCCAGACCACATCAAGACATAATTATCCCATATACAGTTGCAATGGTACTCTAGGTGTTACCACACACAGAGCACTTTGTATGACCAATAACAGACAAGCAGTTGAGGTGGAAATCCATTCATAAGCATGTACATACCAAGATTAGAAATGAACAAAATTTTTCTTAAAACAAGAATGCAAGTGCCATCAGTAAATGTTGATGAACAAATGTATCGGTACACACGTACCTTTTAACAGTGATCAGTGATCATTCTTGGGTGTGGCCCATTGATTCCTAACCATAAACAGGGTCTCTCTCAATGGGCTGCTTTGCTTACTAACAGTATTTAGGAAGAGTCAGTCTTTGAAAGGGAAGCTGAAGTCAGCTTAGATCAGCAGTTTCTATGAAACGAGACAACCAGCTTGGTTTGAACAACAGGACTCTAAGCATACATGGTGAGTGAAAGTCCCATTCAATGATCCCTGGAATTTACAGTCCAAACTGCCAGACTAAAATCTACAAATGAAAATAAACAGCAAATAACCTGTAGCACCTACGTGCCACCTAAGAGAGTCAGAAATTTATGCCAAGAAAGGATAGGTGTCTCAATGTGAAAGGTTTGATGGTACAAATTTCAGATCAACTTGTCAGGGTAGATTTTATGAAATGATTCTTTGAGCCCCAGAAGGTTCTGCTTTCATCTCAGATTTGAGCATCGTGATTCTCCTTTTCCTTATTTATTGTGAAGAACCAGTTTTCTTGTTCCTTTTACTGTGCATGGCCATACATCTGGTATTAGGATCAACCCCAGGTCAAGTGCAGAAGGGCTGGTGGGGAACAGCACCAAGCATACCTAAAAATTGAGATTTCAACTTTGTGAAGCTGCAACATAGCACTACTTGTTTGTCAAACAGTTGAAGCAGTATGCAGACTGACCAAATGAGCCTGCGCAAAACTGATCGATCTAAGCTCATTGGTCCTGCCGCGTGCAATCACATTCCAATGGACAATGAAACAGGACAACGTCCCACAATTATCTCTGTCCTCAATTTCAGGACATTCTATGGCATCAGTGCAAAGATAAAGATAAAACATTTGCAATATTCTTCAGCCCAAAGTGCCTGCTGAATGATCCATTTCCAGCCCTTTTTTGCAGGTCTGCAGCATCACAGACACCAGCGTTCAGCCAATTCGACTTATGCTCGCATGATATCAACAAACTGAAGGCACTAGATTTTGCAAAAGGAGTTGAAACTGACATTTGTAAAACTATGCTGAAGACCCCTGCTCCAGTTCTAGGTAGGTCACCAGCCATGCTACTTCATTATAAAAATAAAAGCATTCAGCCATCAACATGATAAACTGCCCAGGCACGCCTGTGTAAAATGCACAAATCCAAACCAGCAAACCACCATTCCATCAGACTATGCTTGATGATCACTGCAATTATCAAAGGATAATCGACAGTGGATTCAAATTGTACTTCCTGGTTACGAATGCTCACTCTGGGCTCTGCCAATGCTACTCAGCTCCTGCCCTCATTACAGCCTTGGTCCAAGCCAGTACAAAAAGTTAAGAGTGACTGTCCTTGGCATTAAGTCATTATTCTACCAACTATGACATGAAAAAGAGATATTGCTAAACTGCAGTCAAATATGGACTCGTGTAACTTCGAGAAGATGGTTGTGGTTTTTAAAGAGACCGATCACCTCAATCCCAAGACATTACTGCAGGATTCCTCAGGGTAGTGTAGGGCGTAACCATCCTCAGCTGCTTCATCCATGACTTCCCTCAAAAAGGTCATAATTAGGGTGGTTTACTGATGATTACATAACATTCAGTGTTATTATTCACTCCTCCAAAACAGAAAAATCGGTTTTGTCCAAACATAGTAAGCAAAACCTAAGCCATATTAGACTTGGGTCGTTACTTCAGAAACATTTGTGCTATGCGTGCTAGGCAATGACCATCATGAACAACAGAAAATCCAACCATCTTCTCTTGGTATTCAAACGGTGTCATCACAACTGAAATCTCCCCTATTGTTACAAGAACAGGTGAGGCTAGGAATTCTGTGGTGGAGTGACTCATCTTCCTATTCTCCAAAACTTGTCCACAAGTCAGGAGTATGATGGAATACTTTCCACCTGCCTGATGTGTGGAACTTTAACCCCAATCAAGGAGGCTTGATGTCATCCAGAACAAAGCAAAGCAATCTGCTTGATTAGCTCCCCAAACATCAATATCAACATCCATTTCCTCTAACACCCAAAGAGTTGTAGTGGGTACCAACTACAAGATGCACAGCAGTAACTCAAAAGTTCTCCAGCAGCAACTTCCAAACATTTGACCATTCAGTTTAAGACAATTGTTGCACAGGAACAAAACTACCTACGTATTTCCCTCTAAGTCACAAAGCATCCGGACTTGCAAGTACCATCATTATTACTTCAATATTACTGGGTCCATCTTGGATCTGCTTCTCGAATAATACTGTGGGCGTACATATACTGAATAGACTGTAATGTTTAAGAAGGTGGCTCACCACCACCTTTAAAAGCAATTAGTGATTAATGACCAAGACATGGCTTGCCAGCAATGCCCAATCTTGAAGAATAAAAATTATTGCTCCACCAAAAGACTCAAATGATCAAGAGATTCCAAGGTATAAAGTAATTGTTAGCAAAATCTCGAATTTAAATCGGGAAAAGCCCCTTTGGAGATACAAATGACCTTGTGGATCAGTGAAATATACAACGATTATTTGTGCAAGGATTTTCAGAAACTTTGATTTGAGTTTTAATGCAATGGCTTTTTCTTCAACTTCTTTTAAAAATGCCTTTAAAAAGACAAGGAGGAGATATTTGATTGAATGGGCCAGAGATGCTCAACTACTAACAATTGAGATTGATATTTCTTGACAAGATCAAGGCACAAGAACATTGTTAAACGACATATACAGGAAGTGCAAACAGTTGACTCTAATTCTCATAAACAACTTGATCCCACATTTGACTAAGTCAACAGTACATTTTTTCCACTAAAAGGAAATTGAAAGGGTTCAAGTTCAGGCCGAGACACCAGGGCATCTTCAATATGGAAAGTCTGTGCTGCTCCTCTCAAAACTGGCTGCTGTTGAGCCCACAGTACTACCAGCCTGCAACTAACACAGTCTGACTCATTTCAGTTGATGAACCATTTGTTCTCCCAATTTATCTTGTCTTCTTTCAAAAACAAAAGAACTCGCCACACACATGCTGTTTGGAAGAATCCCGAAGTGAATTTACAACATTCCTGAGTTGAACAGCTAGTCAATGCAAGAGTTTAGATGGAATACAAGTCAGTCACCTGTGCATATTTCACCTGACTATAGCATAACCTGTCCCTATGACATCTAGAAACAAGAATGGTCAATCTTAGTCATGAACCAGGTCTATCACTTCGCAGCATAGTTTTTTTTAAAAATTCATTTTAAAGTGATAGAACAAACCTGCACATCTTAAGCAGCTGTTGTGGCCTGAAGAGATTTTGAAGTGTTTCTCAAAAAACGAATCAAAACTTCCAAAATGCAGAAATGAAAGAAAAATGTCACGATAGAGAAGAATGGCAACCAAACATAACAGATTAATGAAATAAACTGCTGAATAATTTGTCTTAATGATTTTAGCTGAAAACACAGAACTCAGCTCCTAGTTCCCAAATAAAATGCACTAAAAACAGTTCTGCACTGCCATAGGCACAATCCTCTGAATCATACAGTCAGTCTGGGTTGTGTGTTGAAGAGAGGCTTGATCATATGATCTTTTGACTCAAATAGGAGCAAATGGGTACTCTGAGCCATGGCTGAGAGCTAATCAAGTTAAAATTCAAATAATCAACAAAACTTATCAACAGTCCTGCTTGAAAAATTTGTTTATCAAAACTCGTCTATTGCAGGGTACAAAAAGGCTTCAAATATGCTGGATTTTCCCATGATTAAATGGGGAACTTTGGTGCTTTAGATATCTTAAGCTCGAGCTCTCATACTTTAAATTTTCAAACACAGGATTAGCTTCAGAAATGCAAATTCATGAAGCAACCAGATCTACTATCAGTGACGGAAATGCTGTTTAAAATCTTCAAAGCAAAATATGTTAATCGTCTGAATTCATATAAGCAGCTCCAGTTTGCTGCTGACTTTTAACCATTAATGAACTCATTTTTCTCTCCAAAACTGATGAGGTATTATTTTATATAGCATGACACACTTCAGCTCAA